GCGTAGTAATCTATCGCGTAGTAATCCAGCATGTGGATATTCAACGCGTCGTAATCCAACGCGTGGATCTTCGACGCGTAGTAATTCAACGCGTAATAATGCAACGCGTGGAATTCTAAGCGTAGGAATCTAACGCGTAGTAATCTATCGCGTAGTAATCCAGCATGTGGATATTCAACGCGTCGTAATCCAACGCGTGGATCTTCGACGCGTAGTAATTCAACGCGTAATAATGCAACGCGTGGAATTCTAAGCGTAGGAATCTAACGCGTAGTAATCTATCGCGTAGTAATCCAGCATGTGGATATTCAACGCGTCGTAATCCAACGCGTGGATCTTCGACGCGTAGTAATTCAACGCGTAATAATGCAACGCGTGGAATTCTAAGCGTAGGAATCTAACGCGTAGTAATCTATCGCGTAGTAATCCAGCATGTGGATATTCAACGCGTCGTAATCCAACGCGTGGATCTTCGACGCGTAGTAATTCAACGCGTAATAATGCAACGCGTGGAATTCTAAGCGTAGGAATCTAACGCGTAGTAATCTATCGCGTAGTAATCCAGCATGTGGATATTCAACGCGTCGTAATCCAACGCGTGGATCTTCGACGCGTAGTAATTCAACGCGTAATAATGCAACGCGTGGAATTCTAAGCGTAGGAATCTAACGCGTAGTAATCTATCGCGTAGTAATCCAGCATGTGGATATTCAACGCGTCGTAATCCAACGCGTGGATCTTCGACGCGTAGTAATTCAACGCGTAATAATGCAACGCGTGGAATTCTAAGCGTAGGAATCTAACGCGTAGTAATCTATCGCGTAGTAATCCAGCATGTGGATATTCAACGCGTCGTAATCCAACGCGTGGATCTTCGACGCGTAGTAATTCAACGCGTAATAATGCAACGCGTGGAATTCTAAGCGTAGGAATCTAACGCGTAGTAATCTATCGCGTAGTAATCCAGCATGTGGATATTCAACGCGTCGTAATCCAACGCGTGGATCTTCGACGCGTAGTAATTCAACGCGTAATAATGCAACGCGTGGAATTCTAAGCGTAGGAATCTAACGCGTAGTAATCTATCGCGTAGTAATCCAGCATGTGGATATTCAACGCGTCGTAATCCAACGCGTGGATCTTCGACGCGTAGTAATTCAACGCGTAATAATGCAACGCGTGGAATTCTAAGCGTAGGAATCTAACGCGTAGTAATCTATCGCGTAGTAATCCAGCATGTGGATATTCAACGCGTCGTAATCCAACGCGTGGATCTTCGACGCGTAGTAATTCAACGCGTAATAATGCAACGCGTGGAATTCTAAGCGTAGGAATCTAACGCGTAGTAATCTATCGCGTAGTAATCCAGCATGTGGATATTCAACGCGTGGTAATCCAACGCATGCACATTCGACGCGTAATAATTCAGCGCGTAATAATCCTCGCCTTCTGATTGGTACGTGTTGTTCCTGAATAATTCAAAAACGAAGCTTCAAACTCCGTTATTGCGAAGGGAAATCTTATGCAGAATCACGTCAGCTACCCCCCATTTCAGGGACCTACAGTAATAGATAATTTTCTGATCAACTTAATGTTTTTGTTCTTCATTAAGAAAATATCGAACTTACTTGACATTGGTTGTAACAAGGACTGTAAGCTTTCACGATCAGGCACGTATCCACTTATCATTCCAATTTCAAGCAACGCCATGTTGCTTTCCCCGTCTGCTAATTTATATCGTGCACAAATCGTTACATTTTGCATCGCACACTCGTTCGCAAATGCATCAGATCGTGCAGAAACCGAAAGGTCGAACGCATCTGAACCAGTTGCGTGTGCAACGTTGTATTTGATGTTGGTCTAAAATTCAACAAAAATAAACAATTTTGTAACTTTTTATGCAAGGAAAATTCCTTGGAAAGGACAAATTCGCCTTCGCATATGCAGTGTCAAAAAGTTTACGAATATCTAACTTCCATTTATTGAGCAGTCATTAAGCAGGTTTATGGAACGCATCTCATGTCTCATCAAGAAAGTTTAGAAGTAATTGAAAATTCTGCTTTTAATACGATATTTCTCTTAAATTCTGTGCATTCTTTACGAAGCACTCTTAATACCTGTATGAAATTAAAATGAATTAAGTTTGATACCGAGTTTACGGATCTGATCAAAATGAAGCGTCTTATATTCCTCATTTTAAATTGCACAATTAATATGCTTTTATCAAAACTTGCAAACGAAGAGTAATTGTATACATCACTTCATCATCGCTTAAATATTTATCATTGCACTTTATTTTCAATCTACAACTGCACATCAAATATCCATAAACCTAGCGAAAAATCAACAAAATATAGTGAAGGAGAATCAACAAAGTATAGTGAGTTTAAGACACTCCAGGTTTAATCTGGACAAACGACGCTGTACAGCACTCATATCTTTGAGTTTGTATTTGATGCACTGCCTATGTCATCTTTGTTAAAAATAGCAAAGCGTAATCTCGGAAATAACGAAAATGACGCATGTTACCTGTACCAAAACGCAGCCCTCTCCTTCGACAGAAACTTCAATGGACGTCGGTAAAACAGGCAGACGAATTTGCGTAAGAACCATACGATTGTCATTATACAATCTATGCACGCGATCAACTTCGATAGCTGTTAGAAGCACGGACAAGTCGGTGTTTTTACTGCTCGTGACCATAGCGTACTCGCTGATCGCCTCTAAACCAAGAATCGTGTCCTGGGTAGATTTGAAACCACCCTCGACGTTTCTTTGCTTCGATATCCAACGGACGGCCTTTAAAGCTTCGGTCAAATTATCGTTCCCGCCCAATTTGACCAACGTGAGAATCACGTATGCTGTCATTTCGATGCTCAAACTCAGCGACGACCATGTTTTGTCCTCCCACCAAAGTAAGTCCTTGAATCCACGGAAAATTAATATTAACTTTTTTTTCGGCAGTGAGAGTTGTAATTATTACTGCAGCGTTAAAGGAACGTTGAAATGTTATGTATATTTTAAATTTGGCGTTCTTCAATTATATAAAGTATCGAATTTGAAACTCTTTATGTAAATATGATTTGGATTTGTCACATTTGAACTGTAAATTTAACTCGATGAGGGTCGAGGTTTATTTATGGTACCATACCTCTTTAAGTTGTCATTTTTCTCATATTATACTCCCATAATAGCAGTAATAATAATAGTAATATCAATAATAATAATGTATGTAAATCTTGATATATTATTAAACGTTCTAAATAATATTAAAATAAGAATTTAAATACACATACAATAAAATTTTCAGTGTCTTTTACATGCGGTTATCGCAAAAAATTTCTATCCAAATATTGCTGTGACAATCACCTAGAGCTGTAAAATGCGATAATTGAAAGATAAAAAATTCTATTTCACGGTTATATTCAATCTTTTGTCTCAATTATTCGATACGAAACAGTATTGTTCAAATGTATATAATTTGTTAATCTTTATCTCCTTCTTTTTCCTCAATCTTTGATTAATAGTATATTATTCGTGTATTTTAGTTTCTATTTTTGGTTGCTAAGAAATTCTTACATTGTATGAACGCGTAGCGAGGTCCATCACTGATTTCAAGCTAGCATTAACTTTCGGGTATCCCAACAGGGCTAATGCATACGTAGTTAGAATCGTAGCGTAAGGACTATCGTTGCCATTCGCCATTCCTTTTTCCAGGCAATTTAATGCATTGGTAACAAGAGATTCTGGCAATGTTATTCCAGATTCGACCAAAGCGATTAGAATGTAGGCTGTTAACGCTGTCGATGAACTATCGTCTTGAAGACCACCCTGGAATATACATAAACGGTGTAGAGCATACAGGGTGTTTCGTAACTAGTGTAAGTCCATGAAATAGAGGGGTAGTTGACATGATTCTGAATCAGATTTCCTTTTGCAAAAATGGGATTTGAAGCTTCGTTTTTGAATTATTAAGTAAAAACACGGACCAATCAGAGCGTGGGGATTATGCGTGCGCAGACGCGAGAGCGACAGCTTCGGATAACGCGTAGTTATTCAACGCGTCGTAATCCAACACGTCGAATTCCACAATTCCACAATTCCACAATTCCACAATTCCACAATTCCATACTTCCACAATTGCACAATTCCACAATTGCACAATTGCACAATCGCAGAATTCCACAACTGCACAATTCCAAAATTCCAAAATTCCAAAATTCCACAATTCCAAATTCCCAAATTTCTAAATCCTGTAATTTCAAATTTCCAAATTTCTAAATTCTGAAATTCCAAATTTCCAAAATCCCAAAATCCAAAAATCCCAAAATTCTAAAATTCCAAAATTCCAAATTTCCAAAATTCCAAAATTCCATAATTCCAAAATTCCAAAAAACCAAAATTCCACAATTCCAAATTTCCAAATTTCTAAATTCTGTAATTCCAAATTTCCAAATTTCTAAATTCTGTAATTCCAAATTTCCAAATTTCTAAATTCTGTAATTCCAAATTTCCAAATTTCTAAATTCTGTAATTCCAAATTTCCAAATTTCTAAATTCTGTAATTCCAAATTTCCAAATTTCTAAATTCTGTAATTCCAAATTTCCAAATTTCTAAATTCTGTAATTCCAAATTTCCAAATTTCTAAATTCTGTAATTCCAAATTTCCAAATTTCTAAATTCTGTAATTCCAAATTTCCAAATTTCTAAATTCTGTAATTCCAAATTTCCAAATTTCTAAATTCTGTAATTCCAAATTTCCAAATTTCTAAATTCTGTAATTCCAAATTTCCAAATTTCTAAATTCTGTAATTCCAAATTTCCAAATACCAAAATTCCACAATTCCAAATTTCCAAATTTCTAAATTCTGTAATACCAAATTTCCAAAATCCCAAAATTCTAAAATTCCAAAAATTGCAAATTTCAAAAAATCCCAAAATTCCAAAACTCCAAAATTCCAAAATTCAATTAAAGTTTGCTTCACCAACACTATAACAAATGAGAATACAAGTACATAAAAATATATAACCTACAGCAAACATTTTATTTCGAGATAAGATATTCGAAATCCGCAAAAAAGGCAGTACGCAGAGATTTCTAAACAAAATTAAAACGAATAAGTAAATGCGACAAATAGAATGTATACCACGTACCTTTCTCTATATTTTTGATCGCTTTTTTTCGGAGTTCAGGTTTCTTGATCTGTAGAACATCGAGATATTTTATCACGTTAAGATTTGGCACAAATAAAACCATATTCTGTTCGCCGCAGCCTCGCGGTAATTGAACGAGGTTGTCCAAATTCTGGAGTGCTGGTCCTAAAATGTCTCCTATCAAATTTACGTAACCTCTTGCACTGTCGTTTACCACATCCTCAGGGAACGCAGCTTCCCACATGAACGTGGAATCATCATTAAAGTCCATCGGACAAAGTAACATTGTTTCCGTTTTCTCCATTGGGTAACCTTCAGGTAGAATTAAAAGTGGTTTCACTATTTTGTCCCTTTAAAAGAAGAAGCGATTGATAGATAAATAAAACACCGTCAGGAATATGATATAATAGATAGACTGACAGAGTTATTTCTCTATTTAGAAGTAGCGTGAATTTGAGTTTCGTTGAGAATGCAAGCTTTTAAATTCTAATATTTTTATATAGTTAGTTATCTAATCCTGAAACTTTTAAATTTCTAAGTTTCTAAATTTCAAAATTTCTGAATTTCTGAATTTCTAAATTTCTGAATGTCTGAATTTCTGAATGCCCGAATGTCTGAATGTCTGAATATCTCAGTGCCTCAGTGTCTCAATGCCTCAGTGTCTCAGTGTCTCAGTGTCACCGTGTCTCAGTGTCACAGTGTCTCAATGTCACAGTATTTCAATGTTTCAGTGTCACAGTGTCTCAGCGTCTCACTGTCTCAATGTCTTAGTGTCTCAGTGTCTCAATGTCTCAATATCTCAATGTCTCAATGTCTCAATGTCTCAATGTATCAATGCCTCAATGTCTGAATTCTTAAATTCCAAAATTTCTAAATTTCTACATTTCTAAATCCCAAAGTCCTAAAATCTCAAAATCCCTAAATCCCTAAATCTCCAAATTTCTACATCCCTAAATCCCTATATCCCTATATCCCTATATCCCTATATCCCTATAACCCTATATCCCTATATCCCTAAATCTCTAAATGTCTAAGTCCCAAAATCCCAAAATCCCCAAAATCTCAAAATCCCAAAATCCCACAATCCCACAGTCCCACAATCTCAAAATCTCAAAATCCCCAAATTCCAAAATGCCTAGATTCCTAAATCCCCAAAACCCCTAAATCCCTAAATCCCTAAATCCCTAAATCCCTAAATCCCTAAATCCCTAAATCCCTAAATCCCTAAATCCCTAAATCCCTAAATCCCTAAATCCCTAAATCCCTAAATCCCTAAATCCCTAAATCCCTAAATCCCTAAATCCCCAAAACCCTTAAATCCCTAAATCCCTAAATCCCTAAATCCCCAAAACCCTTAAATCCCTAAATCCCTAAATCCCTAAATCCCCAAAACCCTTAAATCCCTAAATCCCTAAATCCCTAAATCCCCAAAACCCTTAAATCCCTAAATCCCTAAATCCCTAAATCCCCAAAACCCTTAAATCCCTAAATCCCTAAATCCCTAAATCCCCAAAACCCTTAAATCCCTAAATCCCTAAATCCCTAAATCCCCAAAACCCTTAAATCCCTAAATCCCTAAATCCCTAAATCCCCAAAACCCTTAAATCCCTAAATCCCTAAATCCCTAAATCCCCAAAACCCTTAAATCCCTAAATCCCTAAATCCCTAAATCCCCAAAACCCTTAAATCCCTAAATCCCTAAATCCCTAAATCCCCAAAACCCTTAAATCCCTAAATCCCTAATTCCCCAGATCTCGAAATCCCTAAATCTTTAAATTTCGAAATTCCAAAACTTGAGTTTCAAAATTCCTAAATGAAATAAGAAAATTCTGAAATCTATAAATCTGGTATTACAGACATTCGAAATGAAAAACTTGTCAACTATTCACTTATCTAAAGAAATTACATTATACCCGCATGAATATACTCGATTGCAACTTATCAGTAAAAAGAACTCGTATCTAATATGAAATGTTCTAATTACCTAGTAAATACCAAAGTCTGCGGACCACAAGGTTCAGAATAATTAGAGTCTATGTAAGCTGAGACAGTTATGTTAACCTCTCCGATAACCCGTGGTCGTAAAACGAATTCGTGGATCACGCTGTCTCGTGGTTCCACGCAGAACGACGCTGTCGGAAGCGACAAATGCAGATCGATCCCCGACATTTCTTCCAGTCTGATAGCCACCTGCATATCAGATCGTCTTATGAAGTACGTTCGTTTAACGACAATCGCGTATCATTCGATCAATGAATTATTACAGGCAAGCTATGTTGCATGTAATTGAAGAGGGAGACTTTCATGCGCATCATTTCACCGCGTTTCACGCTGTACGGCAAACTATAATCGAGGAAGAATGGTTGAAACGACGTTATGGTGGTCGGTGGCGCTATTCCCAGGCCATGTATCGGTGAAATGCACGTTGTATAGCCGACCCAATCGGTGATGGTGTGCGGAAGCGTGCGTTCTATTGTTATTTTACCTTCCCTCCTGTGAACAATAATTTACCACGTGTTTAAGGCAAGGAAATCTTAAGGATTTTGCACTCATTAATTTCCTTCACCTGCTAACTCTTTAACATTAGAACTACCAACCAGTCAAAATGACTGGTTTCAGATTTCTCATTTTATATTAAAAAATGTTATTGTCGTGATTTTATGGAACTGTCTGTCATATTTTGTTGAAGTAAAAGCTAGTTCTATATGTTACTTGATGCTTTAGTATTTATTTATTTCCCTTTTCATTTTATTTTTTATTCTTCTTGTTAGAAGTTCTAGTGTTAATTTACAAAATAGATTACGAAAGGAGTTCTCTATAAAATAAACTGTAACTAAGTATGAGAAAAATATATCTTTCACTTATTATAAGTAGTAAATAAATGAAAATAAATATATATTCAACCGATCTATCTATCTGAATTATTTGTAAGATCCAAAAGAAATGTGGAGACGTAGGAGTGCAAAGGGTTATATGGTAACTTAGAACTGATTTTTGGGACCTTTGAAAATTGATACGTTCTAGTCCTTTATCTTACGTTGTCTTCATTAGGACAGGGACCTTGTCTTGAACCTTGTCTCTGCTGATCGAAACAACATAAGATAAACAAGGACCAGAGTTTTGGTCAGGAGAGATAAGGACCTTGTCTTGAACCGTGTCTCTGCTGATCAAAACAACGTAAGATAAAAAAGGACCAGAGTTACGGTCAGGAGAGATAAGGACCTTGTCTTGAACCTTGTCTCTGCTGATCAGAACAACATAAGATAAAAAAGGACTAGAGCTTTGATCAGGAGAGACGAGGAGGTTATCTTGAACCTTGTCTCTCCTGATCAAAACAACATAAGATAAAAAAGGACCAGAGTTACGGTCAGGAGAGATAAGGACCTTGTCTTGAACCTTGTCTCTGCTGATTAAAACAACGTAAGATAAAAAAGGACCAGAGAGTATCAATTTTCAGAGGTCCCAAAAGTCAGTTCTGAGTTCGCCTAGACCTTTAACTTAATTCGAATATTGTGAAAGAGAAACATAGAGACAGAAATATTCCTCGCATTCTATTTTCGAAAGATATAATGTTTTATGTGTCACACTTGAAAAATCTACTGTATAATAATTAAGGTGTTAGAAACCGGCCATACCCAGTAGGCACCAACTCCCATAACCACGTTTCTGGAAAGTACGATCTACTTTCCAGAGTAGATGTCTGATCATAACCCTCGTCAATGTATTCCAGGTCCACCACTGATGACTTCGCAGCGGCGGCAATCGCGAAATTTATTACTGGAAAGAAATGTTGGTTGAACATTATAAAATCAACGCTTACAATCATTCTACATTAAGTGTGATGTATTGGATGCTGCGCTAAATGTGTGGACTTTGCTACAGCATGTTAATTAAATTTAGATTTGATGCATTGGTAAATACCTAGTAAGGTGAAGTGGGGTAAGTTCTTAAACGGGGCAAGTGCGTATACAGGCTATTTTTATTACAATATGACCGAAATTTCTCCATTTAGTATGTTTGTTTCCTTGTTTTCTTTCACTATATCCCCTTTTATATTTCAGCTAAGAGTACTTGTTTGCAGTATAGAGTACTTGCATAATGCAGTAAAAAGCATTTTATAGCAGATTTGTTAATAATTCTGCTCTTGCCCCATTGCACATGAGATAAAGTTTCAAAGTATTTAACTTCAAGTTACGCTCTTAGCCCATTTTCGGGGAAAGTGCAGAGTAGTTGACATTTTAAACAATTTCCTATCAAAATCAAAATGTACAAGGAAAATTAAGGTCCTAGTTAATATTAATTAAATAGTAGTAATTGTGCAAAGCGTTCGATATCGACAGCGTTAAGTATTTACATAGCAGACTGAAAATACTTACGTTTAAATACCAACTTTACAAAAACCAGTCTGCACTTACCTCACTTCACCTTAATCAAAATTATATGTAGATTAATTAAACTTAATATGGATTTGAAATATTAATAATTACGTCGTTTTGGTCGTTACGGAAAATGTAATACTCGCGGGTTAATTAAATTTGATATCAGTTTGAAATATTAGTAAATGATGATCGATAATATGTTAATGTAATAAGAAATTTAATGCTAGTAAATACTTTAAGAAAAGTTAATGTTAGTAAGTACTTGCCAGTGTCAGCCGACATCTGAAACATCCTTGTATCCTTTTTAAAACTTAGCGTGCACGGTAGTGTTGTCTGTTTTAAATCGCTCATCACAATCACTCCGAAATCCTATAAAAAAGAGAATGAAACTTATAAGAATGTAGTGAATTGATGATGAAAGACTTTGAAATTTAGGGAATTGCAAATTTAGAATTTTAGAAGGTCGTAAATATTCGAGTTTAGAAATTTGGGAGATTGTAAATACCATTTCAAAAACATCTTACAATGAAAGCTTGCATTTCGTTTACGTATTCAATTATCCTATTATACGTAGTCGATCGCCTTTTTCGTCTTTCGAAACTAAGAAACGTCGCAGGACGCGGTAGATGACCGATCTCTTCTTCTGTATCTTCCATCAGAACCTCCGCTGTACAAGTCAAAAATTCCTATGTATTTACACCGTGAGAATAAAAACAAAATTTATAAGCAGCAATGAGAAACATACATTGGCAATTAGCTTGCCGCCAAGAGGTCAGGAAAGAAAACTCGCGGTACTTCAATTTTTCGAACGTTTTAGCGGCATCGATTAAATTAGATTTCGATCCGTCTAAGAAAAGTGTTGATTTATCTACGGCTGATATTCCACAGAGAGACCATGGTGCAGCTTCCACGTGGTACTGAGTAGTTGATCCTGGTGTTCGGGCATCGGTGTGCCAAGCTGTTTTAACCTTGTTCTCGAAACAATGGCCAACCTCGATTGTATAAGTAGCAGCCACGATTTCGCCGTCCAATCGCACGTAATAGAGCAGTAATTCGGATATTGGCGCCATGCTTGATGTTACTTTCACGCTTAACGGAAATCTGCAATAAAAGAATATTGACACAGTTGGTTTTTTACAGGATCTTATTCTGTTAGATCATATTATTATAATAATAATGTCAGTAATGAAACAAGTAAACTGGTTGAAAAATCTGATAACATTCTAATTAGATGAAAAAAGATTATTAGTATCGAAGTATGTACAATAATGCACACCAATGTCCGTTCTATCTGCGGACATCCATCACTCATGGCCGATGTAATTTAATATTCATACGTAAATAAAATAACTTTGTTCACAAAATTATGCACTGACAAATTTTTCAACATTTCTTCATCAAATAATTGTCGTACAATTCCTTTGGTTTTTCATTTCGGAATGAAATTCGAAATTAGATTTTCTCTGCTTAGTTTAAGTGGGGACCTATCTTAAACGCTTTAAATCTTTTAATTCTATTATTTAGAATTATTTTCCGATTTCATTTTCATACACGAAATATAATTATTTCTAATTTGATTAATTTATTAATTGTGATACAATTATGTACAATTATCTTTTCATTTTGAAATGTAATTTCGATTTTCATTTCGAAATCCTAGCTTCGTTATAAAATACCAAAAATGTAAATTATAAAATAGCAACGCTTTGTGTTGGACAACCATAATTACTTTTCGCCCATTTCACGATGAGCAATCATAGTCGAATCGATTATTAATTTCTGTGTAACAATAAGAATAGGTTGTCAGGAACTTATGTCATTCATACCAATCGACTATGTATATTCGACACTCATACTGAAAGCATTAACTCTTTGCACTCGAGGGTATCTTTGTTGTCGACTAGTAGCAACTCCAAAATTTTCCAAAAGTTTCATGAGCACTTTTGTTATTATTTTTCTTTTAATTGATCTATAATCTTTATTTCCCGTTTCAGTACATATGTCTCGTGTTCGACACTATTTTAATTAAAAAATATTTATCTGAATTTGTTAAACCGAATGGTAAGTTGCTTTCCGAGTCCAAAGGATTAAAGGTTACATGATTTTATCATGATTATTCATACTGAAAGCATTAAGTTGCACTTGTGATGGGTTTTACTTGTTATGAATTACATCTACAAATAGGAACTTTCAAAAATAAGTTGAAGTGGGGTAAGTGCAGACTGGTTTTTATAAAATTGATATTTAAACGCAGAAATTTTTGACAAAACAAAGAAGTAGGAACTTTGGAAAAAATATAGAAATTTGCATTACCCTGTAACATGCGACAGTCTTCAAAAATAAAAATTTTTGACAAAAACAAAGAAGTAAGAACTTTGAAAAAAATATAGAAGAATTGAAGAATTGAGAGAATCGCATCATGCCATAATATTATAAAATAGTACTTACAAATCTATTATTGAAAACAATAAAGAAATATAGAAAACAAATATCATGAACTTTACCTGTGTACAACGGGGTCTTGATCGGTTCTGTTTGAAAATTTGAGGCTACCCAATAAATTGCGAAATTCCGAGTAGTTCAATATGGTGTCATGACCTGGCTTATGCGTTACGTGGCCATATATCAGGATCCCACTTTTGGAGTTGATAGAGTAGTGGAATAAAATCGATTCATTGTCTTTTATGTTTGAGGGCATCGTATACATCACGTTGAAGGAGTATTTTTCACCGCATACGATGGGTTGAGTTCCTCTGGTTACAACCAAGTAACTATTAGATGCGGAGAACCAAGGATGGATGTCAATTTGTGCTGATGGTTGATCCATGAACACCTGAAGATGTACGAGTGATTATACGAACTATTAGCAAAAATTGTAAGTTGAGTTCATTTTATGTAGCACGGTTCCTTTCGCATTTTATAGGTTATACAAGTGTATTTCACTTGAAAGAAGAAACTAATTAAATTAATAAATAATAAATAAGTAGAAATTGTCGGTAATAATTAATTCTTGGAAAGAGACTAAAATGTCATCTAAAAAGAGTTCATAAATATTTTCTTCGGGAGATATCACAAAAATATTAAATGTGAAATTAGGTGTAACCACTCGTACGCAATGATATTAAATATTTGTATTAAGTCCGAAAATTGTCAAGTTTAAAATTTTTTAAATTATTATTTTTCAGCTAACTGAATATAATTTTTGATTAGCAAATATTTGATGTAATATCAAAAACTAAAAAAAGGGGAAGAAACTCTGATATAAAATTTCATAATAAAATTGTTTAGAAGTTTAAAATCATTTTGCAAACATAAAAAAGGATTTTTCTGAAATTTATATTTCAGGAAGAAAATTTATTTAAATCTAATATAATTAATTTTACTAATTCCGTGGACTATTTGATCGACTACAATAATTCTTTCGATAGAGAAAACACGGAAAAAGTAAGAAACGTTCAATAAGAATTTATGTAATCGATTAAAATTTCAAAATTGTACCCTCCAGCGTTTCTCCGGCGAATAATATTTCATCGGGTAATCAACGGCAGTGGCAAGAAAACTCAACAAAATAACATTCCTCTGTTGAGGTGGTACGATAAAATCAACAAAACCGTCAGCGGACGTCGTAAAATCTCGGCATTCGACCATATCCAGCAACAATTTGTTTTTTCCCAGTACTTTTAAACAAAGTTGAATCTTCTCGTTCGGAGCGGGAGTATCGTCCTGCTTAAAAACTCGTAACTGCAAAGCAAAAAGTGTACAATCACAATAAACAATATTAACTATAAGAATTCTTCAATTTAAGAACATGATCTTGAAATTAATCTGGCAAGTTTTTAAAAATAATTTTCAATCAGAAATGATTGAACAATTTAATTCTGAATTAAATATAATTTCGATAAAAATGAATCGATAATAATCAGATTAATTAATCTATTAATTATTTACATTAATAATATTGTTAATAAAATTAATAATCAATTCAAGTAATTTATTAATATGAACAGTTAATGTAATTAATTATTAGAAACTACAGTGTGAACAAATAAATTGATGTAAGGTGAAGCGGGATTAACTAAGGTGGAGTGGGGTAAGTGCAAGACTGGTTTTTGTAAAGTTGGTATTTAAACGTAAGTATTTTCAGTCTGCTATGTAAATACTTAACGCAGTCGATATCGAACGCTTAA